ATCTGGTTGTTCTGTCCCTTCCAAGAGAATGCAGTGTTCCCTGTGTTCCAAGCACTAGACTATGCATCTATCTTCAGTGCGTAAGCCTTGGTGAAACTTTACCTGCCGTGGTCACACTGAAAAGGCTTTTACATGGGTAAGCATGTGGTGTTTTAGGTTCTTAATATGGGTGCATTGCACCCCACAGGTTGGATACTGTAAAGGTCTGTCTGGGCCATTTGGACTCAGTTATTCTGTACTACTACACAGGAAGCCTGTGGACTAATCTGAAGGCTCCCTGGGACTTGTTTACTTCTTGGTATAGTCTTGATTGCTCAGTGAACTCTGAGATGCACTGACAGGCTGGGACACCCCATCATGGGTCTCCTCATCACTTAACCTTTGTCCTCTCAGCATCTTCTTTGGCACCCAGGGGTAAGGCAGGTTTTGTGCTCTCACAAGTCACACAGTCACTTTTCTATGTGCCTCAGATGGGCCCAGTGATTCTAAGGTCTGGGTGTTCTCTTCCTGCTTGGCTTTCTCAGGCTTAATCCTGTCAGTTCCCAAAGGAACATTTCAAGAAGCTAAAGATGAGTCAACTGTCTGATTCCTATTTTCTGTGCAGGAAGCTGAAGAATTCAATACCTGGGGTGAACTTGTTTGTATGCTACCCTTTGCAGGACTTTCAAGAGATGCAGCAGTGTACCTTTTGCCCTTTACCTGGTATTCTCAGAAGACAGTAATGGTTGGGCTGGGGATTTAGCTCAGCGGCATAAGCACCTGCCTTGTAAGCAGGAAGTTGTGAGTTCGATCCCTGGTACTGATAAAAAAAAAAAGAAGACAGTAATGGTTCTTTCCACACTGAAGATACTGGAGAAATGCTTCTATCTTGAGAAGTAAAGTCGCAGTTAGAATTATTTTCTTGTCCAGCATCTAGACGCTTTTCTGGCTGGCTATTGGATGTATTCCATAAAATACCTGATTTTATCAACTCTGACCAGGTACTAGAAACACCAAATGTTTGTATATAGTGGCTGCAGCTAGAACATGAGAACATTTTCTTTGTTAATTGACAGAGTGGTTGTGGAAGCATATTCTTTTCTTTTCTGTACCAGGGATCGAACTCATGTCCTCACACTTGCCAGGCAGGCTTTTAGGCCACTGAGCTAAATCCCCAGCCCCCAAATAATCTGTACTTTTGGTTTCTTATACCAGGGAAACAATGTGCTATTTAGTCTTACGTGTCTTATTTCACTTAGGATTGTGGCCTTGAAGTAGCTCCATTTACCTGAAAACACATTGAGCACATCCTTCTTTTTGGCAGAGTAGTACTCCATGGCATACAAATATATTTTCCTTCTTCCTTCATATATCAATAGGCCTATGGGCTGTTTCCAGTATTTAGCTAGTATTAACTATGCTGCTAAAACCATGAGTATGTGCATGCCACTGTGATATGATGACTAGACCTTTGGGGAAGATGTGTATAAGATGAATAGCTGGCCAAATGGAACTTCTAGTTTTAGTTTTGTGAGGTATCACCATACTGCTGGTACCAATTTACACTTCCAACAACAACAGAGACGAGTTCTCTTTTCCCTGAAGTCTTGCTAGGCTTTGTTATTGGTTGAGTTCTTGATGATAGCCACAGTTTTTGGAGTAAGAGGGAATGCCAGTGTGACTTTAATTTACACTTCTCGAATGGCCAGCAATGTTGAGCATTTTTCTATGTACTCATTGGGTGTCTGTGCTTCATTTGAGAAGTGTCTATTCATTTCCATGCCCATTTTTGGACTGAGTCCTTAAATCTGAGGCAACTACTTGTTTTGTGTTATTTCTATATATTATAGATATTAGTCCTCTGAGGAGTAGCTGGCAAATTTTTTTCCTCATCATGTAGGCTGTCTCTTCACTCTGTTGGTGGTTTCCTTTGCTGTGATGTCTTTTAATTTGATGTGATATCATTTGTTGACTGTTGGTAATATTTGTTGTGCAATTGGAGAGTTTCTTTATACAATCTTTGCCTATACCTTTGTCTTTAACAGTTTTTCCTGTTTTTTTTTCTCCCAGCAGATTGTTTCAGTTTTAATATTTTAGATCTTTGATCTCATTCCATTTCAGTTTAGTGCGTGGTGAGAGATATGGGTCCATGTTCAATCTTTGGCATGTGAAAAGCCAGTTTTCCTAGGACTGTCTGTTTCATAGACTTATCTTTCCTCTAGTGAAAAAGTTTGGCCCTGTAATGGTTGATACATTGTGTCAACTTGGCAAATTTAGAAGTTTAACTAAGAGACTCAACAGAGAGCCAGGGTCCTCCAAGTCTATCAGCCTGTAGTTGATGTCTTGCTCCTTTGACCCAGCTTCAGAGGACCCTTTAGTCCACATCTCCCCTTACTCACAATGGCTCCTTTCTGACTCCCCTCCCCATAACAATCACCCTATTGCTTGACTATAAATTCTCCAGTGCCTACGATATGTCCAGAACTCAGTCCAATTATACAATGAGGTCTCTTTCCAAACTATAATTGTCTTGAATAAAATCCTGCTGGCAGCTGGGTTGTACTTCAGTGATAGAGTCTAGCACGTGAGGTCCTGGGTTTAATCCCTTGTATTGAAGAGGTACGGGATGGGGAAAGAACACAAGTCAGTATTTCCTTTATACAAATGGATGAGAATCAGCTGAATTAATGGTAATTAAGTTAATGCATGTAAAACTCAACACACTGCCTGATCCATAGCAAGTAATGCTTTTCACTCTGTATAACAAAGAGGAAGAGAAAAACAGCCTCCAATAGTAGAAGAATGGTTGCCAAGAATCAAGACTTGGTGGTGTTAGGGGCTGTTTTGTTGCAAAATGTAACAAAGGCAAAGCTATGTGTTCACCATTGTCCTAGTTATGGATTTACTACCCCTGTTACATAGTTGCACTTTTTTGCCTGCTCTCTGATAATGGAGCTGGGCCTTACAACTATTTCTCCCTTACCAGTTACTGTCCTAGGGTGCTGGGAGACAAGGAAGAGCAAGAAGCTTCCTGTCCAAGTCTGACTAAGGGCGTTTCCTTCAACTTTGCTCTGTGTGTTCTTTAGTGCTAACTTCCTGTAGGGCTCAGCCTTTAGATGTTGCAAGCTTTCTCTGGAACTCAATGTGGGTAGTGCTGGCCCATATCCTTGGGTTTGTGGACTAACCCTGATTGTTATAGTCCACATCCTTTCCTTAGAAATGTGGGGTGCACCCACATTTTTTGGGTGAGCTGCCCACTCAAACTTCCTCTCTTGTACTCAGCAGCCAACACATGAGCTGGTTTTCTCCAGAAAAGTGCTTGTCTGGATCTTATCAACTTGAGTTACTCTTTGCTGGTGGGAACAGCAACCTCTTGGAAAAATACATTGGTTGTTTCTTATGGATTAAAACTATGCTGTCAACTTGAATAAGAAATGCCTAGTGGATTAGTTTAGCACAGTTCTGGCTGAGTCTGGACGATGGATTTCTTGGATGAGTATTGCGCTAAGCAATAGGCATCTAGCCTGAACGGAAAAAAATAAAGTCTGCCCTTTTGCTTTTTCAGAGGAATTGCAGTCTTTTCCATGGCATTTGGATGTTTGCCCAAGCTTCCAGCAGACTCTAACTACAGCCTTTCAGTGAAGACCCTTTAGCTTTCCAATATGCACCCACACCAGACTCTGTAGAGCATGACTTCATCTTTTGACTGTGTGAGAGTCGACCCCCCTGCTACAACCCCCTCCCCAGAGCGGGGAATAAAAGGGTTAACTCCCTAACTCCCCAGAGCGGGGAATGAAAGGGTTAACTCCCTAACTCCCCAGAGCGGGGAATGAAAGGGTTAACTCCCTAACTCCCCAGAGCGGGGAATAAAAGAGTTGACTCCCTAACTTCCCAGAGCTATCAAAACAGAGCAGTAAAGAGTGCTTCACTCCCTAAACCTTTTCCCAGGAGATAGTCAGAGCGGGGCCAAAAGGAATGTCTCTGCTAGTCATTAGCCACTAGATGTTCTGTTCTTTGTAAAGATAGAGATAAGCAAAAAAATGTACTGTATAAACAGGACCAGGGAGCACCTGGCACTCTAAGGTCAACCCAAGACCCTCGGTCTCCATGGTTACTCAGCCCCAGACCCTCAAATCAGCGTTAGCCAGGTCCTGCGCCGCTCAAAATTAACCAATGCGATTTGCTTCTGTAAACTTGCTTGCCTCCTGCGTGTACCTTTAAAAACCCTGCACAAATTCCCCTCGGGGCCCCTCCGCACACGTTTGCCTGAGGGACCCCATGCGCATGGAAATAAACTTTCTTTTCCTCACCAAGAGCTGAGTCCTTGGGGTCTCTTTCCCTGCGGCGTTGGCCCTAACAACTGGATCCTCCAGCTCTCCAGCATATACATGGTCCTTTTGCATTTTTCCACACTGGACTCTGCAGATGGCCATTGTATGCTTCCCTTGAAGACATTAGTGTAGTGAAATAAGCCAGTAAAGGGACAAATATTGTACTATTCCTTTTCTGTGAAGAGTCTAATAAAGACCTAAAGTAAGATGGTAGGTGCCAAGGGTTAGAGGCCAGGGTTATGGAGACTTAGTATTTAACGGGCCCAGAATTTCAGTTTGAGAATACAAAAATGTTCCGGAGCTGGATGGAGGTGATGGCTACATAATATGAATGTACTTATAGCCAAGAACCATACACTTAAACATGGTTAAAAAGGAGATATCTGCTATATGTATTTTACTATTAAAAACCCTACGTATGCATATTTATGGAAGTTTTATTAATAAAAACTGAAAACAATCTGAATTGATTGAACATTCGCTTCTTTGGCCCAGGCGGACCTGGATGGGGAAGTCTTAACCTGAGCCCCTCTTCTCTGCCTCATCTAGTAAGCCCCGCCCCACTTCTCCCTTGGTCCCAGGCTAACCTCGCCCTCTTGGGGTAGTAAGCCACGCCCCTAGGCCTCCCCGCCCCTCGAAGTCCCGCCCCTTACGCCGTGCATCGCCTAGGTGCCGGAAGCAGAAGTGTGGTTCTGCGCGTGCGCGAGACCCTGTCTTGTCACCTTGCGTCTGTGGCAGCCATGTCAACTTGCGTGTCTGTGCGCGTCTGAAGTAAAATTTGGCCTTATTTTGTAACCTGCTAGTCCTGGCCTCGCCCTATCCGTTTCCCAGGCCCTGGAGGCGGAGAGGTGGGCCTGGGGGTCCGTGGTCAAAGTGCTTTTCCTCGGCGCTGCCCGCTGCCGGGATCCTCTTGGCCTCCCGCGAGCCTCGTCAGCCCCGCCCGCGGCCGCCCCGACCCCAACCCCTCCTCGGGGACTCCGGGCGGGCGCGTCCCAAGAGGGGCGGGCTCGAGTTGGAGGACCACTGTGGTCTCTAGTTAGTCTCCAAACACGTCCTGTGCTCTCTTTGCAGAAAGAGAAAGCATGTCTGCTTTGGAGCCGGGGACGAGAATCTCCACGTCGCTGTTGCTGCGCAGGTCCCTGGATTTCTGCACGCTGGGTGAGCTGGGTCCCCGCCTCGCTTCTCCCGGTGCATTGCGCAGAGTTTAAGCTGTGAATGTTCCTCTGCCTGCTATCAACTTGGCACATTATATTCAGATACATAAAAACGAATTGATTTATTTTACATATCGTGTAACCTGCCTTCTTTCCAACTGCATTCAGTGTATAATAAAACGATACATTTTAGTCACTTTTCTATAGATTCTTAAGTTTTACACAGAAAATTTGCCCAGTTTCTACTTTGTCCTTTTTAATTCTTGTGCCGTACATTTTTAAAAGAATGTTTAATTTCTCTACTGCACCTGTCAGGATTTTCAGTTGGGTGGAGAATAGTATATAATCTACATCCTTGCTTTGTTTTGGCTTCAGAGGGAGCTGATCTTATCTGCTATCACTATTACATAGGATGTTCCCATTAAAACAACAAAGCACCTTTTCTCTTTCAGTTCTTCTGGTCCCCTATCCCCGGGGACCAGATTGACTCCAGGGTGCTGTACTACTGAGCTACATCCCTCCTCTTTTTTATTTTAAATTTCGAGACAGAATCTAACTAAACTGCCCAGGTTGCCTTTGAATTTGTCATCCTCCTGCTCTCCCCCCACCTTCCTCTGAAGCTGGGATTACAGGTGTAACAGAGCTGTTGATATCAATGTCAAGAATGACACAGATCAAGCATTCTGCTGTGATTGTACTGTAGAGGCAGGTTTAGCATGTGAATCACAGCAAAAAGAGTCTTCTCAGTCTCCTGCATATGGAATTTTAAAGATTCATGCTGTTTCTCAGAAACTAGGTTTTGGTGACCCTGCGGCTCAAGGGTAGGGGGATCTGATTTGCCAGGGGCTGAACAGTAAAGCTATTAGCTTGTCAAAGAGTCCAAAACTAAGAAATATTGAGAGTAAAACCCTCAGAAGCCTGGTGTATGAATAATTAGTGCTTCCTTAGATTCCAAATAGGGAGTGTGTATTTTTATAGTTCAAGGTACTCTTTGATACAATTTATGTTTTTTGTTATCTTTGGCAAACTGACAGCCCAGGGTTTTAGACTGCAGTTAATTTAATTCCAAAATGTTACTCTTAACCCTTTTTTTTTGTATGTGTGCATGGGATTGAACTCAGGGTCTTTACTCTGAGCTACCTATCTATCCCTTCTTTACTTTTTATTTTGAGACAAGATCTCACTAAGTTGGTTAGTTACCCAGGCTGGATTTGAACTAGTGATATTCCATCCTCAGCCTCCCAGCATGCTGGGAGCATAGCCTGGTGTCCCTATACTTGGCTTTACCATTTTCTTTTTGATCAGCGAGGACCAGCTGTTTTGTGGATCTAAGGTGGAGATAAGTTTGCTCTATCATCTTTCTTTCTTTTTCTTCTTTTCCGGAGACAGCATTTTACTATGTAGTTTAGGCTGATCTTGAACTTACTAGGTAATCTACGCTGCTCTCAAACTTGGAGTGGTCCTCTTGCCTCACCCTCTTGAGTGCTGAGAATACAGGTATGCACAACCACACACACAAGAGCAGCTTGTATTTTCTTGGGCATCTTAGAGTGTGTTGTATATTTTGAAGTCATTACTCCTAGTGGGGTGTTGCAGTATCCAGGCTTATAAGTGTGGGAACTTTGGGGAGCTTAGATTATCATGCTGGCTGCTAGTTGCTTATAATTTTTCAATGTCCTACTTTTCTTCATAAAGGGGATATGGAGAAAGCAAGAAGAGCTACCAGGATACAGAAAAATATGACACAGGTAAGCAAAAGGTACTAATTCTCCAAAGGATACATCCCTTCCATTAGTTGCCTTCCTAGTTAACACATGGGGGGGGGTCCTTGGATTGTAATGCTCTGGTAGGGTGTAGAGCTGTGTACCTCTTCCTGCCATGCCATCCACTGACCATCTCTTTGGCTGTACATTGGCTCTACATTTTAAATAAACCAGTAAACAGTATTTCTTTGAGTCTGTCTGCCCTCCCAGCACATTGAGCTCAAGTACAAGATAGTATGGGCCCTGATGTACAACTGGTCAGTCAAAAATGTAGGTGACAACCTATTGCTTACAACTGACCTCTCAACTCAGGGGCAGTGTTGTGCCCTCAGCTCGTGAGAGGATGCTGTCTCCAGGTGTGTAGTGTCAGGATTGAATTGCATTAAAGGATACCCAGCTGGTGTTCTCTGGAGAAGTGCTTGGAGTGTGCATTAATTAGTTTCCTGTCACTGGGACAAAATACCCTGCCTTTGAACTTTAGGGAGGAGAGGTTTATTTTGGCTCACAGTGGGGTTCACTGGTTCGGTGAGTTCAGTCTATTTCTGGCTACAGGGTAGAAACAGTGTGACAGAGAAAATTTATTCACTGTATGGTGGCCAGGAAGCAGAGAAGGTGGGAGCCAGAGATAAAAATATACCATTCCAAGTGATGCCCCAGGGACCCAGCCCTTCTGACCAGCCTCCCCACTGAAAACGATGCTCTTGGGGGAACATTTTAGACCATAACAGAGAGTATGGGAAAATTCTTCACAGATGTGAGAAGCATTCCGTATCCTATCAAATGACTGAATAAGAGAGTAGGAAAAACCATTTTGACTTTTCCTTTCTTGTTACGAATCAACTGCTGAGAAAGAAATTTAGCTTTAGCAGTATAGAGGCTATAAGGAAGAATTTTACCAGCCAGGAAGTACGCATGAGCAGGAAGGGAAAGAGATAGCTATTGAGCCCCAGGGTAGATACTGGAGACCACAGGATCTTCGCAACATCCTTGGGATCATTTCTTAGTCTCCAGTGTTATTATCATTCTCCATCGTTTTGTACACAATGGAGGACTTGTGACTTCCTGAACAGAATTTGTGGGATCTTTTAGGACTTAGTGACCTTTGAAGATGTGGCTGTATACTTTACCAAAGAGGAGTGGGCTTTGCTGGATCTTATTCAGAGGGACCTCTACAGAGATGTGATGCTGGAAACTTTCCAGAACCTGGCCTCACTAGGTAAGAATGGCAGTATTTGTTTTACACAGTTGTTTAGATAGCAATTTTCTCTTGCTGATTGACCTTGTTCTAGGATTTGGGTTGAGGAATGGGAAATCAATGGTAAAAAATGTAGTCACTGATTCCAACATCCTTAACAATCTGAAAGTCCCAATATGAAAAAAAAACCATGGATGTAATTACTTTTTGTTTTTCTTGTGGTTAAAAACGTGAGGTGTATTAAGCATTGAAAGTGTGGACATTAAAGAGTCACTTTGGGTTACAGGAAACTTGTTTGAGATCGGAAAATTTTGTTGGTGTAAATGCCTTTTGCCCAAAGACTACTAGGGACACATCTGTAGTTAAACATGTTGGGCTTACTTCACAGTGCATCATGGGAGTTGTGGGGCATCTTAGTAAGATAATGTCAGAAAGTACCTATTACAAGATTTGTGCTTTGGTTGAATGATTTGGGGATGAGTCTATGGAAGCAATAGTGTTAGTTTCTTAGGCCTTCTGTAACAAAATATTACACATTGGTGGTTAAGAACTACAGAAATTTATTCTGTGATATTTCTGAATAGTGGAAGTCTAAAATCAAGGTGTCAGCTGGGCTGTATTCTCTCTGAAGGCTGTTGGGAAAATATCCTTCCCTTCTGTTACTGGCCTCTGGTTGCTGCTAGCAGTCTGTGGTGTTCTTTGGCTTATAGATGGGTCATTCTAGGCTCTGTCTCCATCATCTTTTTTGCTGTGTACCTGTTTCAAATGTCTCCTTAGAGTGACACTTGTCATTGTATTTAGGACTGAGTCTAACTCTAAATAACTTCATTTTAATGTTAATATCTGCAAAGATTTTTTTTTCTTTTTCTGAAGAAGGTAACATTCTGAGGTTCTGGGTGGACATTTTTTAAAAATAGAATTTAGTTTTTAGAGTAGTTTCGGGTTCATAGCAAGATTGAATATGAGGTAGATTTCTCGTATAATCTCTGCTCCTATCAGCATTTCATACTCCTGTACCACAATAGTAAATTTATTTAAGAAAAATTTTTAAATTTTATTTTAAAGGGAATAAAACCCAACAAAACAAAAACAATAAAACCAATCAAAACAAAGCAGTGAAAGTGGTACAGAACTTCAAAAGAATAATAGGAAATCAACAATGGCTACCATAATATGTCTTGCTGTCTTCACAATAGTTGTCCATATCATCAGCTATAGCAAAATCAAGCAAAACCAAAAATAGAACCAACCAAAGCATATCATTGAATAAAACAAAACAGTAAATCAGAACAAAACAAAACAGAACAATACTGCACATTATTATCTTCAAAATAGTTGCTCAGGTTACCAGATGCAGGAATAAAACAAAACAATAAAATGGAACCATACATTGATTTCAAAAGCAGGACAGAAGGGTGCCTTCCACAGTTGATACAATGCATCAAAAGGATACTATCATCCTTCAAGTAGATGCCCAGACCGTCAGCCCCAGGCCCACAGAGTCAACCAAACAACATAAGCATCAAGCTACTCCCTGCCCCTCAGTTGCTATTGTCTCATCCTATCCTTTAGATCAGTGTGTGAGTGTAGGAGGATGCTTTTCTGGGTTTTCAGCCCATGGACTGGCTGGCTTATGGGAAGCTGTGGTTTCTCCTCTGGCTGGGGATTTTACCCATGGAGCATGGTCCGGCTTGCTTCACAGGAAGCTGTGGTTTCTCCTCTGGCTGGGGTTTTTACCTCTAAGCATAATGGGGCTTGCTGTATGGGAAGGTGTGGTTTCTCCCCTGGCTGGGGCTCTTACCAATCAGCATGGCGGGGCTTGCTTCACAGGGAAGTGTGGTTTCTCTTCTGGCTTGGACTGTTACCTATCAGCATGGTGGAGCTTGTTTCTCAAGAAAACATGGTGGTAAATTTATTACAATTGATGAACTTACATTAATACATCATTATTCCCTAGTGTTCATTGTTAATATTAGGGTTCACCTATAGGGTTATACATTCTGTGGCTTTGGGAAAATGTATAAGGAATGTATACACCATTATAATATCATACAGAGAAGCTTCACTGCCCTGGAAATCTTCTGTGTTCCACCTGTTTATCCTTCACTTCTCTGTAACCATTCCCAACCATTGATATGTATCCTGTCTCTATAGTTTTCCTTTTACAGATTACCATACAGTTGAAATTATACAGTATATAGTTTTTTCAGATTGGCTGCTTTCACTCAGCAATATGCATTTAAATTTCCTTTATATATTTTCATGCTTTGATAGCTCACTTCTTTATAGCGCTAAATAATATTCTCATGTCAAAATGCAGTTTATTTTTCACTCACCTACTGAAGGACAGCTTGGTTGCCTTCAAGTTTGGATGATGATGAATAAAACTATCATAAACACGTGAGTGTATCGTTTCATGTGGATATAATTTTGCAGCTCCTTTGGGTAGTTGCCAATAAACCTAACTGATTTGCTAGATCATATATAAAGAGTTTGTTTAATTATGTAAGAAGCCCAAAACTGTCTTCTAGAATGACTGTATTTTGCATTTCCTCCCACAGTGAAGAATAGTTCATGTTACTCCACATTGTCACTAACATTTACCAATGTTCTGGATTTTGGCTATTCTAGGAGGTGTTGGTGGTATGTCATCGCTTTAATTTGCAAGTCCTTGATGACTTATGATATGTAGGCTGTTAGGTGCTTGTCATTTGTTTTCTTTAGTGAGATGTTTTTGAGTCATATTTTTAATCAGTTTTTAAAATATTTTATTTAAAGAAAGACTAAACAAAGCAGAAAATTGGTATAAATAATACATATTTTCAAAGAAAGAATAAATAGTAAGAAATCACTAGTTGATATTTACATATTGTCCTCTTACAAATAGTTATTGAAGATACAAAAGTGGAACATATAAAGTGGGGATTCAAACAGTGATACTGCAACCAGTTCTGTTCAACTATCCAACAAAAACTTAGTAATATGGTTATCAATCCTATCCACTTACACATACATGCAGTTATCCATATCTTGATTTATGTTGAGATTGAACAAACCCAAGCAGGCTAAAATCACTTTGAGCAAAGAATAACAGTATTGCTGGATTTCACATTATGACACTCCAGGATCAGCACTGGGTACTGCAGTGTCTCTTTTTCTTCAAAGTATTTGTTCATTTCATCATATGTCATAAGATCAGTTTTCATAAACTATTTATAGGTTCTATGCATGCATGAGTCTTAACATGTATTTCTATCCTTTCTATATTAGAGAGAGGAACAAAACAAAGCTAGACAATGCAAAACATATTCCTATAAACACATGAAATGAAAAAGACATATAAGACTGCTGTACAAGGGGTTGTACCATGGTTACTGTGTTGTCTCTTGTTCAGTAGAATTGGCTATATCATCAGGCATAGTATAATTGAATGTATCAGTACATAACAGTATTAATAAAAATACAACTTTTTATATAGTATAAAACTTCAAAAACAGGTATTAATCAAACCAGAAGGGGTATCATAGTGAGTCTTGTCATCTTCAGTGTAATTGCCTGTACTCTCAGACTTGATTCTATCAATCATATCAGTTTTGAATAAAATCTGTCGATACCAAACAGCAATCAAACAAACCAGATTTAACTAAGATCAGTCGTGATAAAACAGTATAAGTCATACAGGGCTCCAGATTAAGTTAATAGGAAATTAAAGATGATTACCATGCTATATCCTGGTGTTTTTGGGATAGCTGTCTGTGCCCTCAAATCTAATGCAAGTAGACAAACTGGGACAGAATAAAATCTATCTAAGCAGAGTGGTGCAAGTAATATGGGTTTTAATTCTTGATACCTATTAACAAAATCTTCTGCATCTTTTTAAAGACCATTCCTTCCCTTTCACTTCCCCAGGGTGCACTGTGCATTTTTGGGTCTCATCTAGACCCTCGATTTGAAATTGGGGGGGGGGGGCAGCCTGCTATTTACCTAAGTGGTTCCAAACCTTCTCCCTCCTGGACATGATCTCTAATTATACTCCTTTGTCTATTAAAGCCTGTCTTTCCAACCTATCCACAAATACTGGTCTAGTGGCCCCTATTACTCTCTGGTTCTCTGTCACATAGAGCATTGTTTTCTCATATTTGATTTTCATTCCATATAACCTTTTTCAGGTTAATTATATTTCCTATAAGGAGCATCTCGGTGGACCCTGCCTTCTGATCTACTCTACCTATGATTCTGTCTTTTTAAAAATTTAGTGTATCAAGGCCATCTAAATTAGAGATTATAACCAACCTTCTCTGCTTCATTTCTGTTATGCTCTTTTTTGCCATCAGTTGTCTGCTTGTGTTCTTCATTCTACTTTCCGCTCTATTCATTGAGACCTCTCTGCCACTGTTCCTGGAATCCTGGTACTTCTCTCTCTCTCTAGAATGCCCTGCTGTATTCTCTGTAGAGTTGGGTTGCTGGTTGTGAATTTACCAAGTTCCTCTTTGTCTTAAAAGCATTTTGTTTCTCCATTAATTTGTAGAGACAGTTTAGCAGGGTATATCAATCTGGGCTGGAGGTTATTTTCTTTCAGGGCTTAGCATATTTCGCTCCAAGCTCTTCTTGACTTGATGGTTTGTGTCGAAAAGTCTGCTGTAATTCTGATGGGCCTTCCTTTATAGGTGATCTGTTTCTTGTCTCTAACAGCTTTTCATATTCTGTTCTTATATTAAATTTCTGGGGTCTTGATTATTACATGCCTGGGTGTAGCTCTGTTTTGGTTGTAGGTGGCTGGAGTTCTATATGCCTCATATATCTGAATATCATTTCCTTTTCCTATGTTTGGGAAGTTTTCCTTAATTATTTCTGTGAATAGCCTTTGTAGTTCCTTTGTTTGTACCCCTGCTTCTTCATTCACATTCTTTATTCTCAATTTATAGATCCTCTTGTCAGCTTCTAGCCTTTGTATTGTTACTGCTTGTTTCCTTGTTATTTTAAAAAAGTTTTTCCTTTCATAATCCCACATTGCAAACCTGTCTTCCAGTTTGGATAATCTATCCTTAGTTTCTTTCAAGCAGTTTTGCCAGCTTTCAATGGAATTTTTAATTTCCTGGTAATCTCTTTGAATCTGCTTTATGTATTCTATATTTTTTTTTATATTTTTCATCAAATGGTTCTCTCCTTTTGTTTGTGTTCCTCCATTCTCCTGTCTTTCTTGAGAAGTGCTTAGCATTTTTCTTATTAATCTATTTATATCTTGCTTTACTTGGTTAAATATTTCCCTTTTGAACTCATCTATGAGGTCCGGAAGGTATTTCTTCATGTCCACTGATGCCGTGTCTGATATTGCATGTTTGCTGTCCTCAATCTCTTTTGTATTTAACTTTCTTGGATCAGTGTTCTCAGGGCTGCGTGCTGGGGGCTTTTTCTTACTGCTTCCTCTTCTCATATTTTTTGTTTCTTCCATACAAGCATATAGAAGAGGTCCCAGTCCTTTTTTTATTTTTATTTTTATTTTTTTAGTTGATTCTGGTTCTTCTAAAGTGCGCTGGCTATGTGACCCTTCCTACTTCAGTGTGCTATTGAGGTGCAAATAGGGAAGGCGTATGCTGACCTCTCCCCTCTGGGTCAGCCAGTGCACGGAGGCCTTCACTGTGCCTTAGCGTGTAGGGAATTGGTCTGAGACACCCTACTGGTTCCAGCCAGGGCGTGATTTAGGCCAAGTACATCTCACCAATCCCGTCTGGGAAGGGAACAACTGACTGAAGTCTCTGCTGTACCTTGTTTCTGCCAGTCCTGCCCAGTTCCAAAATGTCATCCCCTTTCCTGTAGAAAGGTTTTATTTCCAACACTCACTGCAGGTCAATGCAGGTCCCCTACTGGCTCCATGGCTCCAGCCAGTCAAAGGGGCAGGAACACGGGGAGTTCACCGAGTCACAGCTGCGCAAGTTCAGACTTGCCAACCAGTGCAGTTCCTTGGTTTGCTGCTCCCTTCTGCACTTACATCTCCTCATCACAAGGCCTTCAGGCTTGCCTGCCACCAGCTTCACTGTTCCTATGTATCTCCGGGTTCCAACAGTGCTTCTGGCACGGGGACTGGTTCTGGTGAGAGCACCACCAGCTACCACCTTCTGTTCAAGTTTTTCTTTTTTAAAATTCTTTCTGTGGGCTTCAATTCTCACTTTAGTTTCTTCCTGGTTCAAGGGGACCTATGTCTTTCCTGCTTTTCCTTCTCTAGAATGCTATTTTCCAGCATCTGGGCTGTGTCTCTGAGAGGCTTTTTACTTTGCTGGTTACTTTTCCACCATCTTCCCAGACCACAATCAGCTTGTTTTATGATTGTTGAGCTTTAAAAGTTCTTTGTGTAACAGAACAGGAAATAGTCTCATGTCAAATAAATCTCCTATAAATGTTTTCTTTCAGGCTGTGACTTATCTTTTTGGTGTCTTCATAGAGCAAAATATTTTAATTTTAATGAAGCCCAGTTTATCAAATCTTAGTTTCATAGGTCCTGCCTTTTAGAATTGTAGCTAAAAATCAAATGTCATCTAGAATTTTTCCTCTGTCTTAAACTATTATACTGTACATTTAGGTCTGTGAACCATTTTGAGTTAATGTTTGCAAAGATTTTTTTTTTCTTTGCATAGGTATGGTACTTGTTTGAGTATCATTAGTGGGGAAAATCTTATCTTTTTGCCATTGGATTGGTTTTGTTCTTTTTTCAAAAGATTAGTTAACTCTGTAGTTATCCCTTGGTCTTTAGGGTATTGGTTTCACAACATACCTCCTTACCAACATCTGTGGATGCTCAAATCTCTCTTTTTTAAAAAGATGATATGGTATTTGTATAAAACCTGTACATTTCCTCTCATTTACTTTAAATCATTTCTAGATGATTTAAGACACCTAATACAGTGTTAAAAGAAAAGTCTATACATGTATGGATGAATTTATTTTCCATAAACATCTTTTACATGTGGTTGGTTGAATCCATGGGTACAGAAACCTGGCTGTATTTATGTGGATCTGGCCTTTGCATTCTGTTTCATTGATCTGTTGTGACATGGATTTTGGGGGGACACTGTTCAACTTTGATACTGTTTGTAAACTGGATGCTGACATAAGATAAGAGCAATTATATAGGCAGTGATAGGGAACCTTTTAGAGCTTTCAGTGATAACAACCAAATGGTTACACTACCTATGCCATAGATTTGCCACCACTGGCAAATTCTGTTGGTTGTGTAGTACCTTCTTTTTATCTGTCTTGAACAGGATTATGAAGTGTTCTAATTTTGCTACGTTTTAACAATCTTAGAATAGCATTGTCCAAGGTTGATCTTCTGTGATATTATTTAGGAAAACAGTATGTCTTGACTATATCAAACTAACTAGTAATAACATTGTGGTTTAGATGCGGATGTCAGATTAGTTCCTGGTCTCAAAACTTTATTCCCTGACCTCAGCTTTTTAACTTTGTTTTTCTTTTTAATTCTTTTTCATGGATTTCATTGACATTTTCAAGGCCTTGTGATGAGGAGATGTAAGTGCAGTTAAACTCACACATCCTTAGATGCATGTGTTTAGAGTATGGAGAGACCAATATTTTGACCCTGCCTTATGGAGCTGTTTGTGGTTCTTCATTGTTTTCCTTGGTGATACGTGTTTCCTTTCGTGCAGGGTACCAGCTACCCACATCTCACCTGATCTCCCAGTGGGAACAAGAGGAGGACCTGCTGAGAGTAGAGGAAGGCATTATCCAGCCCACTTGTATGGAGGAACGACAGGAAGGTAAGAACCCTTAGGAGAAACTCTTTTTGGTTAGGGAAAAAATTCAAATGAAACAAAACAAAACTTCATCAGAGAAGGCTCATCTTCCATAGATACCTCTGATTTCTATTATGACTTGTTATTCTCACACTTTCTGTGTTCTTGAAAAAGATTTCCATATTCATTTTACTGTTTCTTAAGTTAGTTTTGGGTAATTGGCATTTTATCCAATCCTGTCTGTTTTGTACTCATAATGTTCTACTTACATCACCATTGGTGTCGGTCTTCAGAGAGCTATGTCCTAATGAATTGTTTATAGTTTTGACCCTTGTGTATATAAAAATCAAAGTCTTGAAAGAACCACAATGCTGAAAGTTCTTTGCTCATAGATACCTTCACTTTTCAGATTCAGGTTTTGAGACTCAACTCAATACTAATGAATTAGTTGTTCGTCAAGGGAGTGATGAAGAGAAAGTATCCAGGGAACATAAAATAGTAAGATTCAAAGGAATTGGTTCTGGTTCCTTTATTTTACATGAAAATTTGGAACCCTATGATACTGATGAGCAGAACAGAAGCCATAAGAGACATTTGAGGTGAGTACCTTTCAGAGTAGAGAAAGTAGTGCCTTAGAGGAGAATGTTAAAATGATCTGAGATTTAAGAAGTATGTATATGATTTCCTATTAACTTAATTTGAAGCCCTATATTGCTTTTACTGTCTTTTTTGACTGATTTTATTTGAATCTGTTTTGTTTGATCACTGTCTTGTTTTGACTGATATTATTTGAATCTGTTACATTTGATAGTATCAAGTCTGAGGGAATAGGCAACTACACTGAAGACAATAAGATTCACTATGATACCCATTCTGGTTTGACTATTATTTTCTTTTGAAGTCTTATAATGTCTCCAGTGTTTTGTTTTTATTGGTTTTGTTCTGTACTGTTATATTCAGTTTTATTATGCCTGATGATATGGGCAGTTCTATTGAAGATAACAAGAGGCATTATGGTAACCACTGTTGATCACCTAGTATTTTGGTGTTAAGTCATGTATCATGTCCATCTGTTTGTTTTGACTGACCCCATTTTGTTTCATTTGGTTTTATTCTCTTCAAAATAAAAAAAAAGAAATATGTATATAAACCTACATCTAGAATCATGATTTCACAAAGATTTTGTCTGGAAATTTTTGCCACAAACTATACTGATATGTAGAATATTTGACATGCATACTTCAATTATAAATAATTATCAGGCAAATTCCATAAGTCAAAAACCTGTTGACAGTATTGGCTATTGTAGAACCTTGTGTGAGAACTTTCAGCTTATAAGTTGACAGTAAAGAAAATGTACTCACAGAAACTGGTAAATATTCATCACTAATGTCGTGTCTTTTACTTTTAAAAAGTCACATGGTGGAGAACTTCGATGAATACAATGAAGAAAATCAGTGTCAACATATTCCAAATTTTACTGTGCTCAGGAGAACTCCTAAAGTAAAATCCTATGAATGTCACAAGTGTGGAAAGGCCTTCCTGCTTCATTCATCTCTGAAGAATCATATCAGATCTCATACCGGAAGCAAACTCTACCAATGTCAGGAATGTGGGAAAGCCTTCCATTTTCATGCTTGTTTTAAGAAGCATATAAAGAACCCCACTGAAGAGAAGCCCTATGAATGTAAGGAATGTACCAAGATCTTTAGCTGTTCCTCGTTCTTTAGGACACATATGAAGATTCATAGTGGAAAGGCGAATTATGAATGTAAAGAATGTGGGAAAACTTTCAGTACTTCTTCATACCTCACCGAACATAAACGAATTCATAGTGGAGATAAGCCTTATGAATGTAAGGAATGTGGGAAAGCTTTTAGTTGTTCATCATCACTCTCCAAGCACAAAAGAATTCACAGTGGGGATAAACCATATGAATGCAAAGAATGTGGGAAGGCCTTTAGTTCTTCCTCCCACCTTATAATACATATCAGAATTCACACTGGAGAGAAGCCTTATGAATGTAAAGAGTGTGGGAAGGCCTTCAGTGAGTCCTCAAAACTCACTGTACATGTGAGAACACACACTGGAGAGAAACCATATAAATGTAAGGAATGTGGGAAAGCCTACAATTGCCCCTCCTCCTTGAGTGTCCATATGAGAAAACATACTGGAGAGAAGCCCTATGAATGTCTAGAGTGTGGGAAAACCTTCTATCTTCCCACTTCCCTGAATACACATGTAAAAAATCAGAGCAGAGAGAAACCATATGAGTGTAAGGAATGTGGGAAAGCTTTCAGTTGTCCCTCATCCTTTAAAGCACATGTGAGAGATCATGCTGGAAAGGTTCGATATGAGTGTAAGGAGTGTGGGAAGGTCTTCAGTCGTTCCTCATCCCTCACAGAGCACTTGAGGACTCACAGTGGAGAGAAGCCTTATCAGTGTAAGGAGTGTGGCAAAGCCTATATTAGTTCCTCCCATCTTACAGTTCATAGAAGAACTCACACTGGAGAGAAACCTTATGAATGTAAGAAGTGTGGGAAAGCCTTTATTTATTTTTCAGCCCTTAGAATCCACATGAGAACACACACTGGGGAAAAACCATATGAATGTAAGGAATGTGGGAAGGCATTTCGACATTCTTCATATCTGACAGTCCATGCAAGAATGCACACTGGAGAAAAACCCTTTGAATGTCTGGAATGTGGGAAAGCCTTCAGTTGCCCCTCATCCTTTCGGAGACACGTGAGAAGCCACACAGGAGAGAAACCCTATGAATGTAAGGAATGTGGGAAAGCCTTTATCTGTCCAGCCTACTTTAGAAGACATGTCAAAATCCATGCTAGAGAAAATATATGAACATAAGGAATATGAGATTATCTGCAAGGCTTTTTCTTTTTTCTTTTTTTTTTTTGCAAGGCTTTTTCTAATCTTAGGCAACTTGTGAAGTTTCACACTGGAGATACCCAATGAATGTGAGAAGACTTAAAGTCACCTATGTGAAACCCTGTGTATGTAAGTGATGTGATAAAGCCTTCTTAAACATCACTTCACTTTCTGCATGTAAGAAAATTCATGCCAGGAAAGGTTACTTCCTCATTCTTCAAGCAGTCTGCTGACTCATTGATTTTTACTGTTTTGTAATGACATTAAAGATGTTAAATTTACCTTTTTAGGTCTAACTAGATGCTTTTTTACTATGAGATGTGTTTGTTTTGCCTCACATATAAGTGTTCTTTCCAGTTTTATAAAGCCTTTTAGACTTATGGGTTATTTGAAATATATATAGTGAATCTTTGACTTGCGATCATTTGAGTTGTGAACTTTCACAGGTGTACTGAATAAGACTCTCTTTGTTGACCTACATATGAGTCCAACTTATGAACAGTTCTGCTGGGACCTTGTTCATAAGTCAGGGACCTACTGTATGTATTTTGAAGCAGAGTCTTGCTGGCTTTGAACTCCTGGGCTCAAATAATCCTCCTTCCTCAGCTTTCTAAGTAGCGAGGACTGCAGGCACACACCACTGTAACTAAGTGAAGGATATTTTTTTTTGTATGTAGGTGAAGAGGGTCTTTTAAAAGTTATTTACCAATTCTTACTGTTCTCTTAAGTCTGTAGTTACAGTATGGATGCTTCAGTGTCCGTTGACCTTTTTTTTGGTCCATGATGTTAGTTGCCGCCTCTCCCTTTTCATCTTACATCTCCTCTTCCTCATTTAAACTAAGAGAATATATAGCTTTTTTGTTTTGCTTTTTGCTTTTGTTGGTACTGGGGATTGAACCCAGAGCCCTGTATAAGGTAGACTAGTCCTGTACTACTGAGCTAAACCTTTAGTCCAGTTTATTTTTAATTTTGAGATACGGTTTTTCTAAATTACCCAGACTGGCCTGAACTTATAGTCCTCTTGTCTCAACCTCCCACATGCATCGCTGCACTTGGCTATAGTTTTTGAGAATATCAGTTTTACTGTCTAAAGGTTTTCATATGTAATACTACTTTCACCAGATATTACTAAGTACAAAAATTTTGAAAGAGGATGGTCTCACCTGATACACTATTTTCATATTTTGTTCTCTGTTCTTGCCCATAGGAGGGATTTGGATCCAATATTTTGAGTTTAAAAATTGTGTTACATGAACTGGGGTGTGGTTAGGGATTTCACTTCCCAGAATCATTGCTTTTTCGAGTTCCATCCTGCAGTGTGTACAGTAATTGGTTGTAAGAGATTTGGAAGACTCCAGGGATAAAGTCAGTATTATCTGTGTAGTAGGCCTGTTAAGATGAGTAAATTTGCAGTGGTCTGGTGGGACTCTGGTTTTCAGCTAAATTTTCTGTTGGACTCACTGATCCATACTTGATCAAAACTGAACATTAAGTGCTTGACTGTAGTGTCCTCAAAGGCTATAGTTCCATAGACATCTTCAAGAGCTCCTCCATCATGACTATATATCAGCTTCTTGCATTTTCTGGCAGACTCTGGCAGTCACTCTGGTCCTTCTGCCACATTATCTGCCTTCTTAGAATTGGTCCTTATTTGGGGATAGATTGTTGTCATGTGCACAGCCCAGTGCTGTGATCATTTCGATCACGAGGAAAGACACATCTCTGCAAGCCTACCATGGTTTCAGAAGCAAGTGGAGCTTTTGGCACCATGGGAATTTATGCTAGGTACAACTGAGGCAATGATCAGACAGGCTTTGTCCTATTTTAGTAGAGAAAATTTTTATTTGACATCTTGAAAGAGAGAAGATTTTACTGTCTTTATCTGAGATAAACACTAAAAGTGTTTTGAGTAAATGTAACTCCTCCTATTTTTGTCTGTTAAAAAATAAATTTCTTCTCATCAATCAAGTTTTACTAGTTTTAAGGCATATGTACACTAATATGCACAAAGTGCTAATCTGTGTACAGCTTGATGAAATTTCACATTATGCAGCATGACAAACACATTTCCAGGACTTGAAGAAGTTCATTTTCCCTTTTGTCAATAACTCCAGAGAAGCAATCCAATTATTACTCATTACAATTGATTAGATTTGCTTGTTCTTAGTTTCCAAATAAATGTTAAATTACAATGTGTATGTGTTTCACTTCTTCTTGCTCAATATAATGTCTAATTTTTGTTTTTTGTTTGTTTGTTTGTTTGTTTTGGAAACAGGGTCTCCCTATGTCATGTAGGCTGACCTTGAGCTGGAGCTCACTTAGATAGCCCAGGCTGGCCTCAAACTCACGGTGACCCTCTTGCCTCAGCCTCCTAGTGCTGAGATTACAGGCCCACATTGGCTAGTTTGTGTTTTAATCCTTTTGATAGATATATACACTTAGTTTTCTTGGTATATGCTACACGTGGAGGGCTGTGATTACTAACAATCACATGTAATTTTGGTTGATATTCCAGATTTTAAAATCATTGATTCCAGGGGCTGGGGATTTAGTTCAGCAGCATAAGCACCTGACTGGCAAGCGAGGGTCATGAGTTTGATCTCTGGTACCAAAAAACAAAAAAATTGTTGATTTCACCTATAATTCCCCAAACTGCACCAAAATTTTAGTTGTTCCACATACCCAGCTAGCATTTTATAATTTTAGTCACTTAGCTGAGGGTACAGTGATAATTGTTTGTAGTTTTAGTTTGGACTAACTGGTGTGTAATGATTTTTTTGTGTGTGTTTACTGAATATTTAAGTACCTTTATGAGGGCACACATATGAGACATTTTACCTGTTTTTTTGGTACCAGGAATCAAACTCAGGACTTTGCACTTTCCAAGCAGGCACTGTGCTACTAAGCCACAACCCCAGCCCATTTTACTTGTTTTATTGAAGATTTTTCCTTCTGCCTACTTATCCTTTATAATATGTGTATGTTTCTTTATATCTAGGTACATAAATGTTTATACATGTCTACATATATATGATATGTATAACATTATATATACATGTATAGCAGATAACTTCCCAGTCTCTGACATTCTTATGTCCATGGTGAGCTTTAAAAGGCACTTATTAATCACCTATTAAAATGTCTCAGATAAAACTTTCAATCTGGATCCTTGGGGCTCAAAATAGATCCAGGGAATATGTTGTGTGTTGGCTGTGTGGAGTAGGTCCCTGAACTGCCTGGCCTGATTTCTGCCCAGGTTAGGCCTCAGGTAGCAGGGAGTGGCCACCCTTTGTGAATAGGTTCAACATAATTTTCAGAATCAAATCTGATTGATTTACCTCGCCTGTGAAACTAAATCAATCTGTCTGGAAGAATGCAATGCTGTTTCTTCAGGACTCACTTGCTCCAGGCTTATTCAGAAACTAGGGTTAGAACCTGTATTGGAGATTTGGCCCAATCTCCAACCTCCTAAAACAAGTTATGGTAAAGGCTTACATCCCAGAGTCAATGGAATATGGTTTCAGAGTCAATGGAATATGTGGGGAATCCAGGAATATCAGAACTCTCTGGGAACAAAGCCGAAGAGTTTTCCAAATCACTGTTATTTATCGGGTTTCCACACATTTGGGCTTACAGGAAGTGGGTGGCATGAAAGCCTATGAAGTCAGAGCAAAGGCAGTAAATTTTGCTAGTTAAGAGAATGGTTTGGTCTCTAAGAATGACAGTTTTATTGCTCTGTCCTCCTCTGCTTCAGCTGTGGTGTTATTTTGAGGTCAGAGCACTATGAATATGCTCTTTTCCCACACAGCTAGAGGTCCCTGGGCTCAACAACTTAACCCTGTGCAGCCTGGTCTCCAACAAACCCTTTCAGGAGTTCAGTCAATACCAACAGCTATGGATATAGTGAGTGCTACTACCATGGCTGGGGTGATAGCCAGGGTCGCATACTTTCTGTAGAACCAGAGACAGTTCTTTTACTATCCTAAGTTTTTAGACTGTGGAAGGGTATAGAGGACTAATAGTGGACTTCAGAAAGTGGTTCAAAGAGGAGAGATTTTCTTAATTTTATGATGAGAGAAAAGGTAAAAGAAATTTTAAAATTAGTGAACTTTTACTCTGTGATATTCAGGTATTAATTAATTTGCTCATCACCAAAACCTCAGGAAACAATATTTAGAATAGCCACAGTGCACATGGCAAGAGAGAGGCACAAATTAATTTAGATAATTTAATGGCAGTACAGTGTGTCTGAATCTGTGAACCATGCTTTCCATTACTGCAGTGAATTGCCATCAGAGACCAGAGACTTCCAGATACAGCACAGTACATCTCCAATTGAATGCTGGAGTTGCAAACTTTCATAGGTATTACGGGACCTCGCATTACAAACATTCACAGATTTGAACAGATCGTGGAAGTAGTTTACATGTCTGCCAGACACTGAATTTGATTTATAAATATTCTACTGGGATGGAGCTCATTCATAAGCTGAGGACTCATTGTAGTAAGTAATGACATTCAGAAATAATTGTTTTATTGGCACACATTTGCAGTTTGCACAGTTTACAATCATCTTGGGGGTGGTTATGTCTATATAATACAGTATTGTTTTGCTTTTAAAATCCCTTTCCCTCCCCATCCTCTTTAATCCTCCTGTTCCCCTTTCTCCCATGTTTTTTTGGTCTTTTTTGAGGCAGGGTTTCACTATGTGGTTCAGCTTGGCCTTACAGTCACTGTGTTAACCAAGGCTGGCCTCGAACTCAACAATCTTTGTGCCTCAGCCTCCTGAATGTTGAGTGTGCACCACCACAGTCAGCTCCCATTTTTCATTCTTCTTGATACTAATTTTAGTTAATATTTATATAATGTTTACATTAATTGAGGTTTTTTGGTTTCTGTGCATGGCATATCTTCATTCTACTTATTTCCCCTTCCTCTCCACCTTACCCCTGCCATTTTCCTTGGCCCCTTGGGCCACTTCCCTACTGCAAGAAATCTATTCCCTTGAACTATTGTAATCCTTGAAGAGGTATCTTGGGCATTTTGACAGAAACAAGATGAAAAAGAAGCCCTGCATTGATGCTTATTCCATATAATTCCATTCAAGGAAAAAAACTAGAAAAATTCTTAACTGTGTTAGTTTAACTTTTAAATAGTTAAGTAAAACAAATCAATGTGTAATAAATGAAACAAATGATGTCATTCAAATTGGTGACAAAAATTAATAAGGAGTAAACTCTACAAGAAATGAGAAGGGCTTATCTTAAAAGTCTGAGCTGGGCATGGTGGTACAAGCCTGTGATTCCATTACTCTGGAAGGTTGAGGTACTGGCATAAGCCCAGACTGGGCAGGTTAGTACCTTACTCATGTCCTGTTCCAAGATAAATAAGAAAATAACTGGGGTGTATCTCAGTGTAAAGGGCTTTGGTTTCATCCCCAATGGCTCCCCAGTTCCCCTCCAAAATTCAGTACAAAGCTCTTCATGAAGGCAAACATGTCCTAGAATGGGAAGTATTAAGACAATAGAGAGGTAAGTATTCTTGTTATTATGTCATTATTAGTACAATTTTAGCTAATAAAAACTGCAATCAAATTTTTAATTGGAAATAATTAATGTTGGTAGGAAGACTCTTCCTTTTGGCCATGTGACTGGAGGAAGCCAAATGAACCTCTTCTTGGGAACAGTAAGTCTCAGAAGTCATTGAGCTAGACCAAGAACACTGAATTTTTTTCCTGCAGTTTCCATAAGTTTGGGACTTTTTAGGGAATGGAGTACATGGACCAGTTTGATTAATAATCAGCTCTGCCTTGAGGCAGAATTAAACAAATGGATGAATAAGTTTCTTGTGCAAGGGGGTGAGTTCAAGGCTACACAGCTGCACATCACAGCCTGTGTCTCCAGCTCTCTGCTGATCCCAACCTAGTGAACTCCATACCTATGTTTCCTCCTGGAGACATGATTTTCATAAGTACGCTCCAGCCTGACACTGGCTTTGTGAAACTCTTGAGGGGAAAGCATCAGCCTTCATCACTCATTTGGCCAAAAGACACAGTGGATCAGCAGTCTTTGGCCATGTTTCAGCTGAGGGCCCACCTTCTAGGATGAGTACAGGAGGCACAGAAGGGCTGTGTTTTCTCAAAATCAGGACAGATGAGCAGTCGGGGCAGCTGGACGGGCGATTCCAAAATGCAACGTGTGTGCTTGGAAGCTTGTGAAGTTTATGTTTTAGGTTCTGGTGGAGGAATCTGAGAGCTCTTATTGAATTCTGATGTCCTCTCACAATGCTGTAGTTCTTTTTTTTTATTTAAAGAGAAAAACAAAAACTAAATGAAGCAAGACAGTAAAAGGCTAGAAGCAACACAGAATTTCAAGAGAAAAAGCATACGGTAAGAGTTCACCAGTTAATATATCACACATTGTTAATTTACAAACAGCTGTCCAGATTACAAAATTAAAGCATACAAAGTGGAGATTAATACAGTGAGATTGCAGTCAGTTCTGTTCAATGATCCAAGAAAAACTCAGCAATATGGTTCTCTTTTCTACACATTTAAATAAACTTGCAGGTATATCCTTGAGATAAACTTTCCTTCCTCTCTTTTTTACACTAACAATCGTGCGTTTTAGTTTCCATTACTTCCACAGTTTTTTTTTTAACTTTTTCTTTGAAGAGGAAAAGAAAAAAGATTGAAAAAAAGGCCAAAAAAAACCAAAAAACAAAACAAGACGGACCAAAGAAAAACCCAATGTGACAAAGCAAAACAGAGTCATTTAGATCAGGAGGATGGACATAGTATAAAATGAAAAAAAATAAAAAAAAATAAAGGGGGGGATTACTAGGTGATCAACAATGGTTACCATTATGCCTCTTGTTATCCTAAAAAGAGTAGCCTATATCAGCTAGTATAAAAGAATTGAGCAAAACTGTACATAAGACCAATAAAACCACATTGGAGAGCTTATAGGATTCCAAAAAAGATAATAGTCAAATAATAATGGGCATCATAGAATATCTGGTTGCCTTCCAAATGGTTGCCTATACCCTCAAACTTGATATTATTAAGCAAAACAGAATATAATAAAATCAGTCAGAACAAGATATGGAGAACACTACAGGGGTTCAAATCATGTTAATAGGATAACAAAAAAATTACTATAACCTATCGCACTATTTTTAATTTAATTTTCCCTTAG